TCTCGTAATTCTGCATACCACATGAATATTTTCAGAATCATTTTGTTTTATTTTATTTTATTTTTGAGGTGGAATCTCGCTCTGTCACCCAGGCTGGAGTGCAGTGGCGTGATCTTGGCTCATTGCAACCTCCATTTCCCGGGTTTAAGTAATTGTCCTGCCTCAGCCTCCCGAGTAGCTGGGACTACAGCCATGTGCCACCACACTCAGCTAATTTTTGTAGTTTTAGTAGAGATAGGGTTTTACCATGTTGGCCAGGCTGGTCTAGAACTCCTGACCTCAAGTGCCCCACCTGCGTTGGCCTCCCAAAGTGCTGGGATTACAGGTTTGAGCCACTGCACCCAGCCCTAAGAGTTCTTTTTTAAAAGAGAAAATTGGATGTCTTCCATGCATCTACTGAATGATCAAATTTTTCATTTTTGTCACATTAATATACAGAACCATCATTTCATTCCTGACATGAGCCCCCTATGTTCTGTATTCTTTTAAATGTACTGCTGAATCCTGTTTTCTAACCTTTTATTTAAAAATGATGTACCAGTAAAATTATCATTTTAATGCACTGTCCTATGAGTTTTTAGCGTTTAAATTTGAGTGTTTATATCTAGTATGTGTAGTAGATGCGGAATGCTAAGTTTTTGAGTCTCTGTCTTTCATGTTTGGTTTTGTTTGGATGTTGGCCCTTGAAGTCAGGGAGAGTCCCGCTTTGTGAGGAGAGGGAATAACTTAATGTAACTTTTGCCAAATAAATTATGAGGGGGAAGGAGTTAAATATCTGAAAGAGCCCAACAGTGCCTGATACATGGGGGAAATTCATTAAATATTGATCCAGCACATGAAAAAATAAAACAAAAACGATGTACTTCTATTTTAAAGCCATTGGTCTATTCCTTATTTTTGTGGTATTTTACAGGTTTGTGATTGTTATATTGACCTTTATAAAGAGAATTTGGAAGTTCCGCCTTTTTGTCCTTCTGTGCTCCAAAAAATTTAAACAGCTTTGGAAATCTTTGTACTTACAAGTTTTCGAAGACTTTGCCTGCAGCTGTTTAACCATATTTCCAATTTATTGGTGTTTATGGGAACAGTTAGTGTTTTGGTCTTTTGGGGGATCAATTGTAGTAATTTAGCAAGTTATCTTTGTCATCCTGGGTTTTGGATTTATTTGCATAGAGCCCATGCTTACTTTATTATACTTTTTGCCAATTGACAACGTTGCCTCTTGATGTACAGTCTCTACAGCCCTGTGAGTGAGGACCGCTGTTCTTTCTAACCACTGCTAGCTTGACAGGCAGCAAGGGACCTCTTATTTCACTTTGCATTTGATTGGTTACTTGTAAGGTGTTTTTTTTCTTTTTTTAAGATGGAGTCTCACTCTGTCGCTCAGGCTGGAGTGCAATGGTACAATCTCGGCTCACTGCAACCTCTGTCTCCTGGGTTCAAGAGATTCTCCTGCCTCAGCCTCCTGAGTAGCTGGGACTACAGGCACATACAACTATGTCTGGCTAATTTTTGTGTTTTTAGTGGAGACAAGTTTCACCATGTTGGCCAGGCTGTCCTTGAACTCCTGACCTCAAGTGATCCACCCACCTCGGCCTCCCAAAGTGTTGGGATTACAGGTATGAGCCACGCGCCGTGCCTGGCCTCTCGGTAAATTTTTTTGAGGAGCAGTTGCCTTTTTGTGAGTTTTAGCCAGTAACCTGGGTGGTTAATTATTTTACATTTAATATTTTAGTCATCTTGTAATGTATTTTGGTTTGTGGGAGGAAACTAATTTTAATTTCTCTATCTGCTTATTTATTTACATTTAACAATTATCTCAGAACCATTTACTGAATAGCCTTTCCCCCCATCAGTTACTATGTCATTCCTTGTATAACTAAATTATATAAATTAAATTGTAAAAACTAATTTAATGTGTTCACATGCAAAAAAAAAAAAAAAAAAAAATAAAGTTGAACCCTTAAGTAACATCCTATGTAAAAATTAACTCAAAATGGATTAAAGACCTAACATAAGAGCTAAAATTATAAAACTCTTAGAAGGAAGCTTAGGGGAAAAGCTTTACAACCCTAGGTTTGGCAGTGATTTCTTGGATATGATGCCGAAGGCATAGGCAACAGAAGAAAAGTAGGCAAACTGGACTTCATCAAAGTTAAAAACGTGTGCAACAAAGGACACTATTAATAGAGTAAATAGGCAACCCACAGAATGGGAGAAAGGACTGGAAAATCACATATTTCATGAGAAATTATTATCCAGAATATATAGAAAACTCCTAAAAACAACAGAAAAGTAAACAACTCAATTCAAAAACGGGCAGAGAATTTTTGGCAACTTGGAGGAACCTAGAGGACATTCTGCGAAGTTAAATTAGCCAGACACAGAAAGACAAATGCTGAATAATCTCACTTGTCCACAGAATCTTAAAAAAAAGTCAAACTCATGGTAACAGAGAGGAGAAGGGTAGCTGCATGGGGCTGGAGGAGAGAGGGGGAAGGGGAGGTGTTGGTCAAAGGGTATAAACTTTCAGTTATAAAAGAAATACATTCTGGAGACGTAATGTACAGCATGGTGACTAGACTTAATAATGTGCTGTATATTTGAAATTTTCTGAAAGAGATTTTATATGTTCTTATCAGACACTCAGAAGAAATGGTACCTAGTGAGGTGATGGTTATGGTTAACTTGATTGTGGTATTGTTTCAGAATATATGTATATCAGAATCATGTTGTACTGTACATTTTATATACAATTTTTATTTGTCAGTCATACCTCAATAAAGCTGGGAGGAAAGCTTCAAAGATAGGCAAAAGACTTGACTAGGCCTTTCTCCACAGAAGAGATACAGATGTCTGATAAGCACATAAAAAGATGCTCAGCATCACTAATCATTAAGGAGATGCAAATAAAAATCACAACAATGGCTGGCGCGGTGGCTCACACCTGTAATCCCAGCATTTTGGGAGGCCCAGGCAGGAGGATCGCTGGAGCCCAGGAGTTCAAGACCAGCCTGGGTAACATGGCGAAGCCCCCATCTCTTAAAAAAAAAAACAAAAAACGAAAACTAGCTGGGTGTGGTGGCATGCCCCTGTTGTCCCAACTACTCAGGAGGCTGAGGGGGAGGATTGCTTGAGCCCAGAAGGTTGAAAGTGCAGTGATCACGTCACTGCACTCCAGCCTAGGTGAGAGTCAAACTATCTCAAAAAAAAAAAAAAAAAAAAAGAAGAAAGAAAAAATCAAAATGACTACCACTTCCTACCCATTAGAATGACTGTTAGAAAAAATAATAGCCAAACGGTAATTCTGTTTGTAATTATTGGGGAGGTTTATACTGTTTTCCACTCTGTATTGTTACAAATAGGACTACCATATGATCCAGCAATTTCACTTCTGGGTACGTACCCAGAAGAACTGAAAGAAGGGTCTCAAAAACGTATTTGCACAGCCGTGTTCATAGAAGCATTATCCTCCTAGCTGAAAGGTAGAAGCCACCCAAGCATCCATCTGTAGATGGGTGGCTCAACAGAATGTGGTCTATACGTACAGAATACTATTAGACTTAAAAAGGAAGGAGATTCTGACACATGCTACATATGGATGAACCTTGAAAACATTATCCTAAGTGATAGAAACCTGTCACAAAAGGATAAAATTATGATTCCTCTCATATAGAGACAGAAAGCAAAATGGTGGTTGCGAGGGGGTAGAGTAGGGGAGGGAATGGGGAATCAGTGTAAATTAATGGATACAAAGTGTTAATTTTGCAAGATGAAAGGTTTTCTGGAGATGGATGAGGAGAATGTTTGCACAAGGTGAATGGACTCAGTGCCACTGAGTGTACACTTAAAAATGGTTAAATGGTAAATATCATGTATGTGTATTTTGCCACAATTTAAAAACTAATTTTTTTAAACCCTAATATATGCCTAAGTCTGTTTCTGGGCATTATATTCTGTTCTTTACATGTCTGTTTGTTCTTGAGCCACTTCTAACTCTTGTGGCTTTCTAAACTGTTTTTGTTCCTGGGAATTTTTAACTTAAAATAATGAAGGGACGAAAATTGTGTCCAGTAATATGTAAACTTCTTTCCCTCTACATAGTTCAGTGACATTGTTTCTTCTCTACTGTCACATGTTTTTCCTTCAGATAAATTTTCGAATCATTTTGTCAACCTTCAAAGAATCCCATTGGGATTTTGATTGAGATTTCACTAAATTAATTTATGAATATAGAGAAATTAACATTTTTATTATCTTTAGGTTTCCTCATTTGGGAACATGGTATATATGTCCATTTACTAAAAATCTTCCTTCCTATGTCTCAGTAGAGTTTTGTAGTTGTCTTTTAAAAAACCTTATACATTTATCATGAAGTTAATTCTTGGATAGTTTTTAATTTTTTTGCTTTTGTGAATGGAATCCTTGTTTTACAGTTTCTTATCAGCCTGTAGGAAATTAGAAAATTAGCCTGTACTGAATTAGAAAGGCTTTGGATAGGAGTAATATTTTTTTCCAGGGGAGAATGAATGGAAAGAATAATTTGGGATAACATTTTGTTTTTTTGAAAGTAAAGTGATTTGAGAAACATAGTTGCTGGGGCTAAAAGAGTAAATAAATAATATGGCATGTGGAATACTTTGGAATTTATAAAGAATAATTTTATTAGCTAAATGAAGTTTCATATTTTGATAGCTTATAACATTAGTTAACTTTTAAAAAATAAAAATGGCCTCTATTCATTGCTTTATTGGTGTACTTATGTGACCATTAAAAACAGCAGGATTGGGGGATTTCCTTCTGATTCTGGCATTTTGGCTGAGTAGGCACTTTGAAGGATGCTGCTTCTATAGGACAACTATACACCACAAAGGACATGCTCCTTGAAGCACTGCAGATCTTCAAGGTCCACTGCCCTACTCCCAAACAAACAAATAATGAACTGAGGCCAGAGTGGCAGGTGACTGGAGTCACAATGACAGGGAGCAGCATTGGGTCGCATGTGGCTGGAAAAGGGACTTGCCCTGAGCATGAGTGCCCACCATAGCACTGAGACTGAGCCCGGTGCCCACTGCCAGGTAGGGGCTTGGCCTGGGGTTTCTACTGTGCTGTGAGCTGAGGCCCTCAAGGATCACAGTGTTTCCAGATCCTGGGTGCATCCCTGTTACTGGCAGAACTATGCCTCTCTAGGGATAAGTTTTCCAACCTGGGTCCACAGAAGCTCACTGACGAGCAGCAAGGAACACATGCACAAACACTTCCAAGTGCTCAAGCATCAACGAAAGCAAGTCACAGTGAGACAGCAAAGGGCAGACTTTGATACCCTCCTGGGACAACATGTCTTGGAATCTAGAACATTAGTGTATGAGATATTTACAGTAATTATCAACAGTCATATAGATGAGCACACAACAAGGAACTATTTGAAATAAATAGTTACATTTGGAAATAAAATAAAGCAGAATTTCTAGATATTTGAGATATTATCACTGAAATTTTCTAAACAAGTGCAGTTGTGTAGTTCAACAGCTGATTAGACACAGTACAGAGACAATTGATGATCTGGAAGATACAGCTAAAGAAAGTAACCAGAATGAAGTCATGCATGACATGTGTAGGGAATATGTGGAAGAAAAACTAAGACATTTGGAGGATGGAATGTGAAGGACAAACATACAGCTATTGGAGTCCCTGGCAATGAGAATGGCGAAGATACAATATTTGAAGCGATATTAGCTACACAATTTCCAGAACTAATGAACAATATAAATCCACAGATGCAGTAGCACAGTGTCGCTCAAAGAAGATTAAAAAGAAATCCACACCTAACATGCCATGCAAAAAGTTCAGAACACTAAAGACAAGGAGGTGATCTCAAAAGTCTTTAGAGAATGAGGACAGCTGACTTTCGGCTGCAACGATGGAAGCCAGAAAACAGTGGAATAATAGTTTCACACTGTTGAGAGACAGCTGTCAACCTTGGGTGTTTCCAGCGTAACTATTTTTCAAGTATCAAGATGAAGTAAGCTACTTACAGATACACCAAAAATGGGAGTTTATCACCAAAAGATCTGCTCTAAAGGAACTTTAATTGGCAGGGGGTGGGGTCATAACTTTTGGCATGACAGTCTAGTGAAGCCTGTGGATCCCTTCTTAGAATAAGATTTTTAAAAGCATGAAATAAAACTATTACAAAGGAAACATTATTTTGAAAATTTTAAACTAAAAGTATTTCTAAATGTATTATAATAATATATGTGCTACCTAATAACCCACTAAATAACAAAATCCAGCAGCTAGCTACCCTAATGTCAGAGTAGATACCTGTAGGAGAAGGCAGCATCTTAAAGGGCAGGCCCAGGACAAATGAGTTTGTTACCAGGCACTTAGGAGAGAATGTGCATCAAAGAAGCGTGCTTTGCCTCAGAACAGACCATGGTGTATTTCACCTTTCAGTTGCTTTTGACTCATGAGTTATTTAGAATATTTTAAAACGCTTTAACACTAATGGAGTTTTTTTTCTTTCATGAGATGATCTTTGTCATCACTTTATAGTTTTGCTTCTGCTTGAGAAGACAATGAAAGCTGCAGAGTTCTTTCTCTATCAGTAGGTTGAGAAGAAAGGTAACTTTTCTCAGGGACATTACGAGTGTGATGTGTTGGTGCAGTCCTTGAAGGGAAATGGTGTGGAGGATGTTTGGACCACAGCCTGGGATGAAAGGCTGGGAGAGGGAATGGTGAGTTGGAAGTTGCCCCAAGGAGAGGGGGCAGAAAGCATGGACAGGGTGGGGGTAGCAGTGAGTGTGTCCTCAAAGGTAGAGACAGATGGTGGAGGCCTGCATGCCTCAGCGAGCCTTCTGTGGCCCCAGCAAGACCCAGAAAAAGAAAGCCACACCCAAAGCAAGGAGAATTGAGGGAGGGTGAAGTAGGAAGATCAGCTGGTCCAGGAGGCTGTAGGAAGAATATTGCACAGAGCTGCAGTCTAGGAGGTTTGGAAGATGGGGGGTTGGTGGACTCAGAATATTGTTTGCTGTGTTTTTGCAACAACAATGCTTTCGGCAGACACAGTGAGTGCTGGCTTCTTAGTGGTAAATTGATATCACTGTAGCTATTGGGCAACCATCTGCCATATGTTTTGTGAAAGTAATTTACTTGGCTTTCAAAACTGTGTTGTAGAAGGACTTGCTTCATTATCATTTGCCTTTGGACCAGACTTTATTATCTGAAGAACATTCTTGATTTTAGGAAGTCCAATCACTTTGCAGTGTGAGAGGACAGGATTTAAAGAGCTAATTTATTCCAGGCCTCTGTGTCCAGGCAGGGTACCAATCAAATGGGCAGGTCTTTGACTCTAAGGATGCCATTATTTCCTGGCAGCCTGTTATCCCCTGTCATCGGCTTCAACAGCAGGAAGTTCTGTCTCTGTTCTAATTTTATCTCTTGCCTCTATTCGGCTGGGTGGGGAAGTGGAGAAAAGAGTGAGTTGGTGTCCTTGTGACAACTCCTGGTGCTCGCAAGGTTCAGCCTTCTCTCCCTGAGCCATATGATGCCTTTTCAATCTGTTTGGCTTTTTCCCCACAGCTGTGTAATTCTGTGTTACGCTTCCCCAACCCTCTTCGGTTTCTCTATATTCTTTGTGAACTGTGGACTCTGAATAATGATACCTATAAATTAAACAGAGGAAGGTTTCGTGATGCGGTAATTTCACGGCTAACTAGGTTCATGACCCTTTTTCTCATGAGAGTGGTGCAAAATCAACCTACAGCATTACTGAGATGTCAGAACGTGCAACATAGTCCTTGCTGGTAGCTGGAATTGAGCAAAAACAGTTTTTGAGAGGTTTCAGAGCAGGGGCTCTGAGCTTCTTTTACATCAACCGCCCTTGTCTCCAGTGGGCCAGAACAGCTCTCTCCAGAGAGGAGGCGCTCCAGCACCTGGGCCGTGAAAAGCCTCCCTCAAGCCATTCTGCAGACCCTCCCTCATTAGGGTTAAGCCTCCTCTCCCTGAGCACTATCATGCCTTTCCCGATCTATTTGGCCTTGGTACTTGGACCTGTGTGAGTGTTTCCGGTACTGGGGAGGGCTGTGGGGAGTGAAGTCTGCACTGCCCCTCCTGGAGAGGTTTGGGGAGAAAGCAGATGTTTTAAAAAAATAATCCAGTGTCCCACTCCCAAACAAACAAACAAATAATAAACCGAGGCCAGAGTGGCAGGTGGCTGCAGTTGCAATGACAGGGAGCAGCACCATGTGGCGTGTGGCTGGAGAAGGGACTTGCCCTGAGCATGAGTGCCCACCATAGCACTGAGACTGAGCCCGGTGCCCACTGCCAGGTAGGGGCTTGGCCTGGGGTTTCTACTGTGCTGTGAGCTGAGGCCCTCAAGGATCACAGTGTTTCCAGATCCTGGGTGCATTCCTGTTACTGGCAGAACTATGCCTCTCTAGGGAAAAGTTTTCCAACCTGGGTCCACAGAAGCTCACTGATGAGCAGCAAGGAACGCATGCACAGACACTTCCAAGTGCTCAAGCGCTGGTGTTGGGAGCTGTGTCAGTGTTCCCGGTATCGGGGAGTGGTGTGGGGAGGGAAGCCTGTGCTGCCCCTCCTGGAGAGGTCTGGGGAGAAAGCAGATGTTTTGGAACAACAATCCAATGTCCCACTCGGGATGTCATAGTGTCTGAGTCTACTTAGGCTGCCATAACAAAATAGCATAGACTGGGTGACCTAACAGAAATTTATTTTCTTACAATTGGTGAAGCTGGAGAGTCTGAAATCAGGGTGTCAGCACGCTTGGTTTCTGGTGAGAGTGAGGGCTCCTTCCTGACTTGCACTTTTTTTTTTTGAGACGGAGTCTCACTCTGTCGCCCAGGCTGGAGTGCAGTGGCGTAATCTCTGCTCACTGCAAGCTCTGCCTCCCAGGTTCACGCCATTCTCCTGCCTCAGCCCCCCGAGTAGCTGGGACTACAGGCTCACGCCACCACGGTCAGCTAATTTTTGGTATTTTTAGTAGAGATGGGGTTTCACCATGTTGGCCAGGATGGTCTCGAACTCCTGACCTTGTGATCTGCCTGCCTCGGCCTCCCAAAGTGCTGGGATTACAGGCGTGAGCCACCGCGCCCGGCCGTGACTTGCACTCTTAATGGTCTTCCTCACTGTGTGTGTGCAGAGAGCATGAGAGCTCGCCTTCTTCCCTGTATAGAGCTACGAGTCCCATTGTGAAGGCGTCATCCTCATGACCCAGTCTAATCCTAGTCACCTCCCAGATGCCCCATCTTCAAATACCATTACTCTGGAGGTTGGGGATTCAACATCTGCATTTTGGGGGGTCACATACATTTAGTCCATGACAATTGTTTTCTGTTGCTGTGTAGCAAATGACCATACACTTCGCAGCTTGACACAACTCTCACTTAATACCTCATAGTTTTCTTGGGTTAGGAGTCTGGACCTTGCTTAGTAGAGTTGACACTGGAGGAGTTCCCTTATCCCCTCACAGGGCGTGACAGGGGTGTGGTTCGCTTCTTCGGTGCCCCTCTGTTCAAACCATGCAGGTGGGTAGGTTGTGGGGAGCGTTCTGGGGCTCCAACTCCACAGCAGCCTCTAGGGTTGAGTGTTTGCAGGTCCCAAGGCCGCAGTGGGTGTGTGTTATGTGACGGTGCGCTTTTTCAGTTTTGCTGTCTGCAGGTGGCTTGTGTTAATCAGCTCCATTAGACCCTCTGCCTTATCACAAGGACAGAGGGCTTTCTGTATCCTGGTTCTTGCCCTAGTGTGCAGGAAAAATCAGATCACACATGGGCGTGGAGGATGGGTGCAAAGTTTAATTGAGTGGTGGAGGTAGCTCTCAGTGAAGTGGATAGGGAGCCAAAGGGGGATGCAGTGGGAAGGTGGTCCTCCCCTGGAGTCAGGCCAGCCAGTGGCTGGACTCTCCTCTGACTGCCTCCGACCAAATTCTGCATCATCCCGCCGTCAGTGGCCTGCCAGCATCTGCTGGTGTCTGTCGGTGTGCTCTTCTGCTCCTTTCAACATCCAGCTGCTTGTGTCCGTGCCCCCTATAGTCTCCGATTTTTATGGGCATAGGATGGGGGGCATGGGGGGCCAGAGTGGTCCTGGAAAATGCAACATTTGGGCATGAAAACAGGAGTGCCTGTTCTCACTTAGGTCCATGGGCATAGGCCTGAGGGTGGAGCCCTCGCCAGGCACCCCACCCTTCGCTACCCAGTGTTTCCCTGCCCCCCTCCCATATAAAAGTCACCTGACCAGGTTTCACAAGGCTGCAACCGGAGTGTTGCTGGGGCCACGTCATTCGAACATGCCCCTGGGGGAAGACCACAAGAGTGACAGCCCATCATATTCTTGCTCACGGAGAGCATTCTATAAGGCCAGAGGTCATTTTAGAATTCTGCCTGCCACACTAAGTTTAGTGGCTTTATTCTTTTGCTTTGTGTGGGAGAATTTGATCCATTCCTAGTTGTAGTTATTAATGATATTTGGAAATGCACATCGTCTTCAGTGAGCGAGTCACCTGTGTTTGTTGAAAGTCAAATTCTGTGAGGGGATTTGTGGAATGATAGCTTTGCTTATGGGAATGGGGAAGGTCAAGACCTCTCCCTGTAGCTTAAGATAAAAGCAATATTAACTTCCTTCAGGCTTAGAAGTCGGTGGAGCAGTGCCTACGATTTGGAGGTTTATGTACTTTCAGTGAAATTCCTGCTACAAGCAACTTAGTCACTATAGAAATTTGATAGTTTAATACACTTCAGCTGAGAAGAGGTCAAGGCGTTCTGAATTTATTTATTTATTTACTTATCTATTTATTTATTTATTTTTGAGATGGAGTTCCGCTCTTGTTGCCCAGGCTGGAGTGCAATGGTGTGATCTCAGCTCACCGCAACCTCTGCCTGTCAAGTTCAAGTGATTCTCCTGCCTCAGCCTCCCGAGTAGCTGGGATTACAGGCCTGCACCACCACGCCTGGATAATTTTGTATTTTTAGTAGAGATGGGGTTTCTCCATGTTGAGGCTGGTCTTGAACTCCCAACCTCAGGTGATCCCCCCGCCTCGGCCTCCCAAAGTGCTGGGATTACAGGCGTGAGCCACACTGTGCCCGGCCCGTATCTGAGTTTATTAAAATGGCTGCAGGACTCTGGTGGTAGTTTGGGGATCTGCTGGGCCCCCTGTTCTCTTGAATTCCTAGGCTCTTCATGAGTGAGGAGGGCGGGGCCATGGTTGAAGAACGGGTAAGAGTTCATCTGGTAGACATGGGAAGTAGAAGGCGCCGTTTTCTGGGGGATGTTTCTTCTCACCGTCTGTCCAGGCTTAGTCTGGGTGAGGCCAGTTTGGAGCATGAGGAGAAACAGAGGACACTTTCTGGAAGTTTCATCCTAGGGAGATGGCAGTGTTAGAGCCAGAGCCCTGGAACGTGGCCCTCAACCGGAGGGATAAGAAGAGTCGGGGGCTGAGGCTGGGGCCAGGAGGGCTGGGGCGACAGGAAGGGACTGCGGGAAGATGGGGGCTGTCTCGGAGGTTGGGTATGGAGGGGAGACAGCCCACAGAGCTCTGTGGCTTGTGTGTGAGTCACACAGTGGCTGCTGTGCAGTTTCCTCCCTTCCCAGCCTCCCTGGAGGTGCCCAGAGTGGCCTGGACAGGAGTGGGGCCACCAAGGGAGGTGCCTCCAGTACTGGAAAATCAGGGCCTAGCTTTGTGGTCTAAATTGTCAGGCCAGGGAGATGCAGTTTGTTTGGCAGAGGCGTCCGGGATGGCTTCAGTGGGGAGGGAGGAGGTGGAGACAAGAGCGAGTGGACAAGGCTGTCATCCGGCAAGTGAAACAGGAGCGTGCTGGCAGAGGCGAGAGAGACGATCCAGGAAATGGAGGGTGCTGAGCAGAAGAATGGATCCTGCTTTGTGACAGAGTAGCCCCTGACCTGTACCATGAGCTCAAAACATGATGGCATTATGGTCAAAATTTTGAATTCACCAAAAGAAGACGGGGGTGGAGGAGTGAAGTCAGGGTCCGAAACGTCAAGCATGAAATGATGGTGAGAGCTCTGGCGGGAATGGTCAGCTCCGTCCGAGAAAGGCCAGTGTCCTCTGACTGTGAGATGACATGGGAACATGTTGTGCCCACTGGTTCAAGTCTTGGGCACAGAAGGCAAGAGAGAGGTTTCAGGGCATTCGGAAGGAGAGTTAGTGAGACGCAGCCCCAGAGAGACGGGAGAGGTACTGGTCAAGGATTTCCGTAGGGTTGAAACTGGACTGCAAGGCAAGGAGCTGGGTGCATGGCCATGAGAGCGGAGCCGGGAGGTGGGAAATGACTGTAAATAAAGGCTGTCGCCGGCGGCTGTGTTTGGAGGACTTGTGCGCGTTGCAGAAAAAGTACACACGTGAGAGTCTTGGGAGCACAGCCCTGGTGCACTCGCTTTAGTCCATGTTTTTGTTTTATTGTTTTGTGGCCAGATGTTTTTGAGACTGGACTAGCGTGGTGCTGGATGTGATAGAGGCTGCTGTGTCTGAGACCTGGTTCTGCCCCCGCGGAGGTGGCTGAGGGTGAACTGCAGTCTGTGACCAAGGGGACCTTGTGAGTTTGTCAGCACCATGCGCTCCTCCGGGGTCTGACCGGTGCTTTTGGAGTCCCAGGGGCCATGCAGCCAAGCCCTTCCGGCCAGTGCCTGGATGCCTGGCTCGTGCCCACTGTGGCAAGCGTGAGCGATTTGTCTTCACAGGAGACCTGGTCTACAAACACCTTCCTTGTAATTCGCCTTCTCACATGCTGCCCTGTTGAACGAGCCTTAGCCTCCCTGGTTGGACGTGGGGGTGAGGGAGAGGAAGGGTCTCTAGGATTTGGGCTTGAGTGACCAGGAAGAAGGGCTACTCTTGTGGAGAGCAGAGGTTACAAGAGAACGTGTGGGCTTCCCAGGTGGAGGCTGCAGCAGCATTTTTGGACATGTTGGGTTTAACAGATGCCGGGAGCGGAGCCTGTGGATGGTGTGATGCCATGGCCATGGCAAAGCCCTGGGCTGAAAATCACCTGTGCAGACACCAGTGGATGATGCTCGAGGAGCCTCAGGACAGCCACCACAGAGCCCTGGGGAGGGGAGACAACAGGCTTAGGAGACACAGGTCTTGCGAAACCAGGAAGAGGTTGGGGAGAGGGAGGAGGCCAGGAGGGAGACTGTGGAGGAGAGCAGCCCCTTGGGAAGTGGGAAGAACCGCAGGGGAGTGAGGAGCCGCAGGAGCCCAGATGGGAGGGAGCCTCAGCCCTCAGCCAGGTGATGGGGACCGAGCTTTGTCTGTTGCACTCAATGACTGCTGGGGAACCTTGGGAGACATTTCCTTGGAGTTGTGGAGCTGAAACCAGATAGATGGTAGTGGGTGGGAAGTGACTGTGTCTCCATGATCAGTTGGCCCTTCCTGGACACCAGGAAATCAGGAATGTGGGGATCAGAGCCAGTGTCATCCTCAGGGTACCTGGACTCGGGAGGCTGCCCAGGAGACAGGCAGGCCAGGAGCTGGACACAGGGCTAAGCAGTGGTTCTTCTGAAGGACAGAAGTCATAGCATATTTATATGATCAGGACAGTAAGGAGGAGGCAGGAGAGTGGGGGTGACTTCTGGTGGGACCCCAGGCAAGGTCAAGGACAGGACTTGGCCTGGGAAAGGAGTAGGCTGCTTGGAGTCAGGGCCTAGAAAGTTCAGGAGCCTCATCAGAAGACACTGCCTATGTTTGGGTGAGGTGGGAAGCTGTGATGAGTGAAGGGGAGGGGCTCGCAGGGGCTGGAGGGGAGAGAAGGGTGTGCGTCAGGGGAGCCCAGCGTGTGGAGGGGAGAAGGAGAGAGAAGGGCGTGCATCAGGGGAGCCCAGCGTGTGGAGGGGAGAAGGAGAGAGAAGGGCGTGC